TAACCTTACATGTTCATATATAATTTGAATAGGAAATCTTTTCATTTTTTCGCTTACATTAATCGCAGCATTTACGAATTGCTAATTATTGCCCAAAATTTATGCATTTCTAATTAGTAATTTTTATGCAAAAGAATTACTAATTAAGTAATTAGCAGAAAAGAGCAAAATTTTTGACCTAGTGACCTAGAGTTATTTGTTTTTTTTTAAACGACTTAATAAGTAAGCTTGATTTTAACACTCAAAGATGTTTTTGACTTCGCTGCTTAAATGTTAAGTAATTATTGTTTTGATTAGGAGGCCTCGACCTAAATCTTATCAAGGTTCATATTCCACACCCTCAAATGATATCACATCAACAGCTTTATCAACTACAGCACCAAATATTCAGGAATCTCGTCGTAATGCCTACTCCCGACTTGGGTATGATGTTTTTGACCTAGTTACCTAAAATTTTTTGACCTAGTTACCTAAAGTTATTGGTCTTTTTTTTTAAAATGACTTAGTAAGTAAGCTTGATTTTAACACTTAAAGATGTTTTTGACTTCGCTGCTTAAATTATAAGTTCTGGTAGAGTTCAAAAAACTTAAATTATTATACGGAAAAACTTTTTGAATACTTAAATTATTTAAAAAAATATTCAAAACTACAGCATTAACAGTATTTTGTCATTAAGTTCGATTTAAATTTTAAAAATTTTCGTCACGAACTTTAAAAATTTAAATTATAAAATTTTCTTCAAGATTTTTTAATTTTTTAACATTTTTAAAATCATCATTAAAAGTTGTAAGTAAATATAATTTTGCAGTTCGTTACCGTCATACTTTCGTTTCTCGTCCTCTCCTTCTATTTATTCGTTGCTATCACGAAAGTGTGATGACGACGAAGTGAAATTTACCAAGTGATATTTGAATATATAATAACTGATAATCTGTAATCTTTTACTGATAATGCAAAATTTCAATAAAAAATGTGAAAATAAGAATCGCAGAGGAAAAAATGAATAATTATTTAATCGTATCTGATATACTTGTGTGTATTTATTATTGTTGATTGAAATGCATAAATCTTCACATTGTAAATAAATATAATTTGAAACAATACAAAAGTTGTAAGCACTTTTAATAATTTTCGAAGTGTTTTTATATTAATACTAATTTTTTTTTGCTTATTACACTAATTTATATAATTCTGATTCAGATGTTTCAATAGCAATTGTTTTGCCATTAGAAGTAATACTTCGATTTCACTGTCTTCAGAATCACTTTCTGAAGAACGTTTCGCATGAATCTGAAATTGTTTACAAATTTTGACTTGAAAAAAAATAAACTTCTAGTGCTTTTCTGTGCAAATCAAACTCGTCCATTAAAAAGTATTAAAAAATGGAAAAAAATATTTGTTAAATAAATAACAAATAAAGGCATAGAAATGCTTGGAATACTGACTATTGCATGTAAAAATAGTGTTTATAAAAGAGTGAAATAAAATTTTGAAAAAATGGGTCGAAAATTAGAAAAAAGTTTAGTATAATATTAAAAAAGTTGTTAAGTTTTTTCGTTAGTACTGTATGTTATGCGGAATAAAAATTAAGTCTGATAGTTATTTTTATTTCTAATAGTAATCATAAATTTATTTAATATTTCAGTTACTTTTTTAGTGATAATAATTTTGTTAGATATTATTTATAGAGGTCAAGCAATGTCATCAAGCAGTTGGTAATATCTTTATGGCATTATCTCATACTACGATTAATTATTACAACGAAAACAAATCCAGCAAATTAATCATGAAATCTAATCAATCTAATCAAAGTAATAACAATTGATGTATTTGCTTATTTTTATCAAACAAATGCAATAATTATGATAAATGCTGCTGCACACAATTAGTTGAATATAAAGATATGATAATTGCTATCACTGCTAATATTTTACTCAAGATGATAAGAATGTCAAATATTATCATTACTATTATCACTATCGTTGATAATATAATTCGGTATCGAAAATTGTCTTTTTTTAACTTATAATTAGTTTGAATAATGTGCAAAGTAATTTTTTAATTATTTTGAATGCTCAAAATAATTTTTAAAAAAATATAAATTATAAAAAATTTAATTAATGCTGAAAAAATATTTTATTATAGCTCTCAACTTATGCTTAAAAAGTTTTAAGTTTGTAATTTTTATTCTGTTTATTAAATTTATTTTTTGATAAAAATTTTGCAATCTTTTGAACAAATAATTATAAGTAAAAAACTTATTAAATTTCTGCTGATCAAATATGCAAGTGCCTTATGCAGTGCTGCTAATTTTTAGAGTAATTTATTATGTTTGAATAATGTGAAGGACTTCAATACTTAAAATATAGTACTTCAATACTACAAATATAATGATTAATATCATATTTAATCGTATAATTGGTTGTATGATTAAAATTTTAATTGTTTTCAATAAGCTATTTTCTGCTCATCTAATAACTTTTGAATTTAATAAGTTTTGAATTAAATAACTTTGAAAAACTATCGCAAATATACATAAATTGTAAAATTATAAATATAAATAAGTTGTAAAATTTTACAAAAAAAAAATAAACTTTATAAAATTTTACGTAAAATTTAAATTTCCTATTATTTTTATATTTGCAAAAAAATCAAAAAAGCTATTATTAAGTAGTTGCTCAGTTTTGTAATAATTGTCCAAAATGAAAAAAATGTAAAACAAATTTTTTCGAACAATTAATTACTCTTTTTTTTTTACATTTTCTAATTGCTTGCGCACTTCCATTCTTCTCATTGTAAAATTGCGTATAAATTTGGTTTTACACTAATTTTGTTAATTTAATTTGTAACATTCTTTAAATTTTGTGCTCAGAACATATCGATTATTTATAGAGGTCAAGTAATGTTATTAATTTGACCTCAAATTAAGCAACGAAAAAAAAGAAAAGTTTTAAAGTCAAACAAGTTAAAAGTATGAAAAAATTTCTATTTTTTGCCAGCTTTCAGCTAAACTTAATCTCCATCTCAATTGCTACTTAGAAGCTTTTATAACCAAATTTTGATATTACATCCGTAAAAAAGTTTTTGAATGCAATTGTTGAAAGATTTTACTTGCACAAATAAATTTTTTTTATTCCATTTTTAATTTTAACGTCAAAAATTTTTTTTAATAATAAAGTTATTACTTTCATTTCACGCAGTTTAAAAAGTTACTATCTGATCAATAAGAAGCAAAAAATTTGTCGCAATATTTTATTTTCAATTCAATTTTGTGTAATATTAATAAAGTTTTTACTACAATAAAAAGCTGAGCAATACTTTTTTTAAATAAATTCTTTGTACAATGAACTAATTTTTAAAATTAAGTGTTTAGGTCAAGTATGAATTTAATTAAAGAAAGAAAAGGTCAGATAAAGGTTAGTTTGTTAATCGTTGTGGTAACTAATCTCATTATCGAAATATATTATTTCATATATTTACACTCAAATGTTATCATTTATCAACTCTTACTATTTGATTCCAAACAA